CACATGGCTGCTGTCTCCACCATAGTCTGGATCACCCCAGGTCACAACAGCCCCAGATTCAAGAATGGCAGCAAAAGCATTGCCAGTTGCTTGGATGCAATGGACGTTCTTCAGCTGCTCTTGCACCTGGCTGCTGTCTCCACCCCAGCCTGCATTACCCCAGGTCACAACTGCCCCAGTTTCAGAAATGGCAGCAAACGCACCACACCCAGTTGCTGCTTGTATGCGCTGGACGTTCCTCAGCTGCTCTTGCACCTTGCTACTGTCTCCGCCAGCATTCGGATTACCCCAACTCACAACAGCCCCAGATTCTAGAATGGCAGCAAATGCACCACCAAACTGACTCCTTGTTGATTTAACGTGCTTGACCTTCCTCAGCAGCTCTTGTACCTGGCTGCTGTCTCCGCCCCAGTCTGGATCCCCCCAGGTCACAACAGCCGCAGATTCAAGAATTGCAGCAAAAGCACCACTAAACGCACCACTTATTGATGCAATGTGCTTGACATTCCTCAGCTGCTCTTGCACCTGGCTGCTGTCTCCGCCTTTTTCTGGATCACCCCAGGTCACAACAGCCCCAGATTCTAAAATGGCTGCAAAAGCACCAAAAGTCGCTTGGATGTGATTGACCTTCCTCAGCAGCTCTTGTACCTGGCTGCTGTCTCCGCCCCAGTCTGGATCCCCCCAGGTCACAACAGCCGCAGATTCAAGAATTGCAGCAAAAGCACCACTAAACGCACCACTTATTTGATGCAATGTGCTTGACATTCCTCAGCTGCTCTTGCACCTGGCTGCTGTCTCCGCCTTTTTCTGGATCACCCCAGGTCACAACAGCCCCAGATTCTAAAATGGCTGCAAAAGCACCAAAAGTCGCTTGGATGTGATTGACATTCCTCAGCTGCTCTTGCACCTGGCTGCTGTCTCCGCCCCTGTGTGGATCACCCCAGGTGACAACCTCGCCCCCCTGGCCATGCCAAGCGAATGCCTTCAGGGTGGCAGCCAGCTGGCCAAGGTTCACAACCGCATCCACCACATCCCCATCTCGCAATGCGGCCTCACTCAGCGTAGCCGACAAATCCAGCTGCCGGCCTTTCGCAGTGAGCTTCAAGCGGCGCTGGAAATGCTGCTGTGCTGCAGCCGTCAGCTCGCTACTAGGTCTTGAACACGATGACTTCCGGTTGGGAGGAACAGCTGAAATATCAACAGCTGGGTGCTAAGTACGGGGATTCGTAGAATCACACACGTGCCAATTCCCTTCGGGCATCTGCTTGGAAATTAACACTTCTGGCATGTTTCGCACGCGTGCTGGCACTCGGTTGCTTTCTGCTCCCTGCTAAAAGTTTAACTTTTAGTGGTTTAGTGGAAACCAATTAGTGGGCAAAACAATAAAGTCCTAACATCCAAGCAAAATGCACCCGTGCTGGCACGTTGCCATTGCATCGCCAGGCCGTCAGGCATTCAGTAAAGTCCCACAAACGGCCACGTTCCTTGTACCAGCTTGAGGGTCGATGCCGACTCCGGGGAAGAAAACAAAAGCGGAATACTGCGGGGTGTTGCTCCAAAATCTGAAGTTTCATCTCCAAAGACGACAATTCCTAGGGATTGATAGTCAACCAGGGATTTCGTAGTCCTGGGTTCCCGTTAGGTGCATGCATCCGAGTTGGGCGCCTTCTGTTGCTCCAAAAATGATTCAAGGGAACCCACCCCTTTGGGAAAGTAGGCAATCCCCTCTTTCTTCTTTTTTTTGTATTACAAAACACACACACACACACACTTTGGTCACTCGTTGCCGGCAGCTGCACTGGTCGCCCTGGCGAGTTTGACTATTCTTTCAACCAACTGCTGAAAGCTATGGGGTTGATAGCTCGATCCGGGCTGGTTTCAAAGTCAGCAACTGCACTCGGTGGTGTCCTTTCACTTCCATTTTGCTTTTTCGTCTCCTGGACCAAACAAAAATCTCAGATGCCCAGTGGCCAGGGGAAACAAGGGCATCCTTTTTTGGTTGGTTGAGTTTAAAGGAATCGGAACCCTTCCCCAAAAAAGCTGAAAAAGGCACCGCAACCCACTGGGCAACCAAGAGATAGTTCCAGTAGTGACGGTACCCCCTACTCCAAATACCCACTTGTTCTAGGGTATCTGTTGAAAACCTGGTGTCTCAAGGTAAATAGCCTTTTTTTAGTAGAGGGTCGACATCATACCAAAAAAAAGGCTGGGTATTTGGAGTACGGGGTAGGTGTCCTTCAAAACCAACAAGGGAAAACAAAGCCGAGGTATCCCCAAACAGCCCCCCGGAACCCTCCCGCAACCCTTGAAGCCTCCTAGCTGCCAAACGGATCGAGGGGACTATGGACTCCATGAATCAGCTGGGGAAAACAACAAAAAATTATTGAACTCTCAAAGGGTCCAGGTATTTTCATTTGGATATTCGTCAAGATAAAACCACCCTATGGACCGGTTTTCGTCCTTGAGTCCATCCATGTACCAGCCCAGGGAGTCCAAAGGCCTGAGTTACGGAGGCCATTTAAACACGGAGGTTTTTTACGGCCTTTTTAGGGGGTGTTTACGTCCTTGTTACGGGCTTTTTACGGCCTTTTTACGGGGTGTTTACGGCCGTTGACAAAAGGCCTAAGTTACTCAGGCCGAGGAAGCTCTGGGCAGGTTGCAAAAAGTAATTTTGGGCCGTTTCGGCACCGAGTTTTGACCTTACCACAGCCATTTGGCTGCTCAAAAATCATTGGAAACCTCAAAATAGGGCAACATGGGCCGAAAAAACCAGTGGGAATCCCATAGATAGTTGGAAACGGCCCAACATGGCTTGTGGCAAGGTAACCTCAAAAATAGTTGGAATTGGCCCAAAATGGCAACCTCCCGGCAAGGCTCAAAAAGAGAAATCGTCCCAACATGGCTTGCAACCTGAATTGGGAAATTTGGACACACAAATACAAACACAGACACGCAGACACAGACGCAAACAAAGACACAGGCACCGACACACTCACACACACACACACACATAGGCCACACAAAACTGCACCGCGCCAAGACTCGTTTTTGCCCCGAGTTGACAGCGACGTCCTCTCCTGCTTGCTGCCTGCATAAAATCTCTTTTGTCAGGATAGGTTTAAACAGAGATAGAAACAGCGATAGAACCAGGGCAAAACGAAGAGAAGACCAACAAACAAAATGTGGCAAGTCCGCGATCTGCGAGTTGGAGTTTGCACTCAGAGGCCCTTGGGGATGAAGTCCCCGACCTGACGGGCACTGGCTCACGCTCGCCATCATAACACTCGAGTCATAAGCAAAACCGGGTATTAAAATGGTCGACTCAGAACCAGGTAAAAAATTACAAAGCGGCCGCAGCTATTTACGGTTGGGACTGTCCCTTACTAACCTTCACGTACCCGAATCGGTTTTGATTGTGACTCACTTCAAACCCATGCTCCAAGGCCCCGGATGAAACAGCTTCCCAAACGGGTGTGGCTCAAAAAAAATTGAATCGGCCCAATGGTTGCCCGTTGAAAAGTCGACTCAGCCTGTGATCCTTCGGCTCTGTTTTGAGCCACATGGCTCAGGTTCAAAGTCATCCCCGTTCAGTGGTGGGTCAAAGGGAACCACCGATTCCACTGTCTGACTTTGATAGCCCCCAGAAATCATCAAAATCATGGCCTCAGAGGTAACCACCTTGAACCAAGGTTCTTTCAGCGATGTCCAGCTTCAGTGGGTTTGGACTTCGATTCATGCTCCCTCCAGATGCCCCCGCCTTCCCACCTTTTTCGGGCTAGATTGGATGAAATGCCGTCTGTGTGGCAAATACTATCTTTAGTCAGTTGACACAATACCCTGAAACAAGTGTGCCAACTTGCCGTCGACCGCTACTATGGTGTAGTTGAATTAGTCCGAGAGACAAAGGGGCATATAACTTGTGTTTCTGTGGGTGTGCGCTAAAGAGGAAGCAATAAAACATCACTAACTTTTGGCTTCCTCTATTTCGACATATTATACCCCATGTGCTTCCTCTTGCTTAGACCACCAAAAACCCACACAATTGTATACCAGCCACGGCCTTCTCTCCTTACCCGCTTACATGCCTGCGAGCTATATACATGATTGTGGAAACACGCACTTAAGCTCACAAAAAGTTCTGGACGAAACGACTTCTTGGCCATAAACACTTCACAACTAGCGTTTTCATGAATTACCACAAGTTCCTTATCTGAACCTGGGTGAGGGGTACAACCACCTCACCAAACCCTGAGAGTCTATATAGAACCAACATCTCAGTTGTTCAGTGACCCTGGAAAAAAAATGGAACCCTTTTTGGGGCGGGAGGACCATATTTAGTGTTTGGCAGCCATCCAAAAAAAGGTAAGGGGAAAAGACTTGGTGCCACTGAACAACTGAGACATAGATCTTCACAAAGCCGCTTGCGACTTGGTGGCTTGGAGGTTTCGGATGGATCCCTCAGCAGTTCCAATTCCCAGTTCCCACGTTGCAACTGAAACCCGGCGGAACATCACTGGATTTGACGTTGAAAGGGGAGCAAAAAAATAAACTTTAGCAGTTAAGTGGATTTGGATTTCAACCACTCAACCACAATAAGCAAAATGTAACATGTTTCTCAACGACAACCATGCAGGGGTCACTGGATTTCCAAGCGAAAAAAAAAGCTGATCAATCTACTGGCTTCCACTAAAACAATCGACCTGCACTTGTGGCTCGGCAACTCAAAAAGGGAAGTGGCTCAGAAACAAGACGATTAGGCTACCTCCCAAAACAAAATCTCAACAAAGCCCATGGTTAAAAACACACCAACAAAAACAAAAACACAAAATCTACGATTGCCCTTCCCCTGGGAGCCCCAAAGGAACCCCAAATATGCGGAGGGAGGAACCGTTCCACTATTAGGGGAGTGTTCCCTCCCAAAGCGATGAATCCCCACTAAAAGGGGACACCCCCCTATAAATCAACCAGGCGTTTATGAATCCGGGGTCATTAGACGTCTCTGGGCCGCCCTTACGCTGGACTGGAACTCCGACTGGGTGAAGCTGGGGATCAGCGAAGGGCCCGCGCCTAACCCAACCGATTCGATTTGGCGGGGCAAAAGCACGGTTATCCCCCAGTGAACATCCCAGTCTCCACTAAAATAGGACCTACCCCATTCTAAAAATGGGTGGTGAGAATTCACCAATCCCCCAAAATGGGATGGGGCCGAAACGGTTTTGACCACCACAGCCAGGTTTTTTTTTCTCCGGCGGTTTTGGGTTTTGGATCCGTGACCTTGGTCAAGGTACCCTAGCAGTCAGCCCCTTGGACCTGCCCTTGGCGATTTAAGGCGCGAGAGTGGCTCCTAGGGGTAGGCAGACAAGTCGGCAAGCAGCTGAGAAAAGCAAAAAGGTGTACACGCCTAGTGGCAACTGGGATCCTTCCCCCAAACAAGTTGGCAAGCCCCAGCCATCCCTTTAGGAGAATGGTCCAAACTACCATTTAACGTCAGGTTCCATGTCAATGGAGTCAGAATCAAAACCTGGTACAACAATGGTCTACCCAGAAACAGTTCAAGGATGAACAAGGCGGCTGCACCAACAATAAAAATGGTTGGGAATATTCCTTGCTAACCTTCATCTACCCGAGTTTGGATTGTGGCTCAATTGGTGAGAAGGCATGTGGCAAACGTAGATCACCAAGTTGGCAAAGGCCAGCAAGTAGACAACAAACTTCCATTTGCTGAAGCCCCCTGAAAAAAGAGAGACCAAAAACATATCCAGTCGTGATAGATTCCCTTCAAAACCAGCAAGGACAAATAACAAACATGCTCTTAAGCAAATGGATGCAAAGGAATTGAAAAAAGCGAAGGGCGACCTATTTCTAGGAGCCCAATATCTCATGATTTGAGGCTCTTGGCTACGGTTCAAGGCAACCACATATTTTTCGGGTTTTGTTTGGGGCTCCCAGAGAGTGGCTTGCCTGGGATCCACTGGTCCCCCGTGAAACTCCAAGGCTACCCGCAAATTACTTGCGGAGCTGATTGGCCAGAAAGAGAAACCCGCTAAAACAGCTTTCCCAAGTGTGAAGTCCGCGTTCCCAAAAGAGCGAGGCAAACAAAACACGCTCATGTTTGTAGAGGGTGAACCATTTTCTGACAAGCTTGGAAATCACGCAGCCCTGGTGAAATCGTCTATGGAGTAGTCAAAAAATGGAAGCCTGATTCCACACATCCCCCCCAACAACAAAAAAGCTAAGATCCCACACCCAGTGAATTCAAACCACTCTTCCACCTTCAATTCGCCCATAGCCCTTGCTCAAACACCCGCCTCAGAATCGGGAGTCTTGGGAAATGGCCCTTGATCACTTCAAAGATGGATTTGTGACTTTTCTTGCTGGTCGATCAGTCTCCAACAGGATCCGGCAGGCCAAAAAACAAACGGTTGATCACCGAAAATGGCGGTCCCCCTAATTTAACACATACCCACTAGATCCAAAGAACCAGTCTGGAAATTGTTCAAGCTCTGGTTCTTGCGGGTACATCTGAGAAACCACCTTTCAAGTACCTCCAGACCAATCCGGCGAATCTTCAATTCGGCTCCAGCTTGCCTTTTTTTTTCCGAGGCCTCCGTGCCCCTTGAATTGTCAGGCTTTCAACCACCTGGAGTCTCGAATTGGAGGGCTTCCTGGCATTCGTGGAGACGCTCAAGACGAGTCGCAGCAGCGCCTGCGTGAGCGTGCCCACACAGGTCAGCGCCCGGACGCTGCAGCTCTCCAATCTGATGATGGAGAAGGCCTACTACGTCCACATGAGGAGGCTCTTCCCGAAGATGCGGCTGCTCTTCACGGACACCGACTCCGTGATGGTGCAGATCTTCGAGATGCAGGGCCCTGTTTGACGTGGCCGGCAAGTCCAAGGACCCGGGTCAGGCGCGCGCCAAGGCCATCGAGCTGATGGAGCTGCTGGGCAAGCTCGGCGACGAGACCTTCCCAGCCAAGATCCTCGAGTACGTCGGCCTGCGGTCCAAGATGTACAGCATCCTCACCGTCCAGCCCGACAGCTCGCGCAAGGAGAAGCGCAAGATCAAGGGCGTGCCCAAGAAGGCAGTGGCCGACGTCCGGCATCTCTATCGACCGTCGAGAAGAAGTCCCTGTCGCCCTTCAACGACAAGATCTACGGCCTCGACGCTCACAGCTCGCGTCCGCTGGGGCACTGGCGCAACCTGGAGCAGCTGCGGCTGCTGGCCGCTTACGCGCCGCCCGGCTCCGAGGCCATTGACCTGTTGATGGAGTTCCTCGTGGGGCCCCTGCCTCTAGGGACGTTGCCCCGGTGGCTGAGCCGCTGCTGGGCCTAATAGGAGTAGTGGAAAAAGAGTGCCTAGTCGGAATGCCTTCTTCAACGCCTTGACCTTGATTGATTTACTGATCGATTGACCTACCGCAGCGACGACGTCCTCGATGGCCTTCCGATGCGTGCAGGCCTGGCTTCTGGAGAAGCCCGCAGTGTGGGTGGGCGAGGACGCCCCCGGCCTCGCAACCGCTCTGATGGTGCAGCGGGCTCCCTGCAAGCGCCCTCGAGAGGATGCGCTGCACGAGGCCAAGCGCTCGCACCAGCAGCATCGGATCGAGCTCCTTGAGGAGCTGCCGGAGTGGCAGGTGGCGCGCTGCGTGAGACAGGAGCGCAGCATCAAACACCTGAGAGAGCGGGTGGAGAGCGAGGAGGCGCTCGTCGAAAGCCCCGAGGAGCATCAGCCGCTGCGCGACGCTGCTTGGGGGATCATTTCCAGCTTCTGCGAACGCGAGCGGCGGGCCGAGCTGGCCTTGCGCTGGTTCGAGCGTCATGAAGGCCAGAACCCGCGGAGGCCCTGAAGAGGATGAGCGACGGCGAGGAAAAATGTTGGCTTGCGCGATCATTGGATCAGTCCGCCTAAGCCCGCAGCCGTTCGACATTCAAGAGCAATGACGTCCTCGAAGGCCTTCCGATGTGTGCAGGCCTGGCTTCTGGAGAAGCCCGCAGTCTGGGTGGGCGAAGACGTTCCCGACCTCGCATCCGCTCTGATGGTGCAGCAAGCTCCCTGCGAAACGCTACTTGAGGCCGAGCACCTGCAGCATCGGATCGAGCTCCTTGAGAAGCAGCTGGGCGAGAAACAGCGTGAGATACGCAGAGTTGCTTCCGCGGTTCTTTCCCGCTCGAGTAGACGCAAGCTGCGGGCAGAGCTTGCCCTGCGCTGGTTCGAGGCGGATGAAGAGTGGAGCGGGCTGTACGACTATTGGAGCGTGCTGAGAAGCCGCGGAGGCCAGCAGAGTCCCCCGCCCCGGCTCAGCATAGATGAGCTGCTCGAGGAGTGGCGGGCCGACGTTGACTCTGACAATGTCTGAGCAACAGAACAGCGAGTAAAACTTGAGTAAAAGGTCTCTGCAGCCTCCGTTGGAGCGGCGTTTTCGGGGCACTTTTCGGAGATTTGGCTTGCGCTATCAGTGATTTTTTTGGACCCGCAGCCGTTCCACATTCAAAAGCAATGACGTCCTCGAAGGCCTTCCGATGTGTGCAGGCGTGGCTTCAGGAGAAGCCCGCCGTCGGGTGGGCGAGGATGCCCCCGACCTTGCAGCCGCTCTGATGGCGCAACGGCCTCGCCGCGAGCGTCCTCGCGAGGATGCGCTGCTTGAGGCCGAGCGCTCGCACCAGCGACGTCGGATCGAACGTCTCGAGGAGCATCTCGAATGTCTCGAGGAGCATCTCGAATGTCTCGAGGAGCATCTCGAAGAGCAGCAGGGCAAGAGCGTGGAGAGTGAGATAGAGCTCCAGGAGCCCCTGGAAATTTCCAAAGAGATGCGCAAAGTTGCTCCAGCGGGTTCTTTCCCGCTCGGCCACGCGCGCCCAGCGGGCAGAGCTGGCCTTGCGCTGGTTCGAGGCGAATGACGGAGGGCTTCCTGGAGTCTCGAATTGGACTCGAAATAAAAATGGTTGGTCGTTATCTCAATATCATGGTTGGTCATCCCATTTTTATTGCGGGTCATGGAGACCCTTTACAAATGGACCTACCCAAAATAATGGTTGTTCGTCCCATGTTTATTGCGGTCCTTAGGGAGACTCCAGGCAGGCTCATGACCAACCATGTTTGAAGGGTCCGATTCGGGAGACGCCAGGTAGCCACCTCCATTGGCCTGGAGAAAAACACTTCAATCCGGGGATGAGGAAAAAGAAATCCGCGGAATCCGCGCGAAATCGGCTCGAGGCGAGTCGCCTGTGGAGGCATTGGTCAGCACCATGAAGAAGAAGCCCACCATCGCCTCGACCGGAGCGAAGGCGGCCGGAGGCAAAGCCGAGTCTCGGCGAAAGGTCGCGCAGAAACAAAGACAGAAAAGCCCACGCGAGATATCTTCGTTGCGGCTGTTGACCCCCCTGCAAACAGTGAAGATTT